TTTATTTAAATGTGGTTAAGTAGTTGATAGCCATTCCGTAAAATTTAGGCAGGTTAATCTCATGTTGCTTTTCTCTGCCGTGTCCCACATTCTTACAGTCATTTTGCCAACTAGAGAGGGGAAAGAAAGAGATAATAGAAAACAGAAAACTAAATGCTCCTTAAGTGTATCTTGATTATAATATAAAGAAACCTTTTTTTGAAGTCTGCTGTCACTATCTTGACAGTGACGGTGTCATGCTAAACTAACAAAACCTACTATTTTTTACACAAAGATTTTTCTGAGTCATTGTACCTGCATGTATGTCTCATTTGAAAGACAAATATATACTCTTTGCCTGTGAGTCTTTTTTTTTTTTTTTTCCCCTTGCAGTTCCTGATGGGAAGCATATCAGGATTCAGAAATGGAAGGATGATTCTGAATGCAAAGGTTCAAAGTTTGCAGTTTTCACATAGTGATAGGTAGAGCAGACACTCTGGGTAAAAGTTCTGCGCATACTTTTCTAATTCTTATGGATAAAACACCCTTTAGCTATCATCTGCTGTCTAACAGTAGTAGAAATTCTGGTACCAAAAGTACCTGGTATACTTGCTGGCCCTTCCTTTATGGAAGGTGTTTGTGGGTTTTTCTTTCCCGCCCTCCTCCCTTCCCCTCCCTTTTTTTTTTTCCCTTCTTTCTCCACCCTGCCCCCTCATTTGTTTTCCCTCTCCAGACTCTGAGCAGTATGTTCTCTCACTTCTGATGTGTGACTGAAGCTCTGCAGGTTCCTTTTATGCACCATCGATGCATAAGCAAAATTTACCAAATAGTAACATTGTCGCATGATGGATTTGCATACTAGTGCTGGTCATCTTGAGGAAGCTGTGAGCAGTTGAGGACTTGCTGTTTGAAACTTGGATCTGCTCAGTAGATGCTCCTAAAGTATTTAGATATCTACCCTGTGCGCTCTGACAGTTTGTATTTGTCTGCGTTGCAAGAGACATTGTGCTTAGCACAAAGACAACGCACATCATCTTACAGGAAGTACAGAGAAATTAAAAAGATAAGAGAAATATCTGAAGATACCAGATGGATGCCAGACATCTCTGGCAGTTTGTACTTTTCTCCTCTGCACATACGGTTCTTGAGACAATCAAGTCTGTATTAATCATCATAAAGAGGACTCAGTCTTTGGAATCACCTTTACCCTGTGCTACCAGGTTGGGCTTCCTGCGATAACTAAACCAAGTTGTCCTAGGCTATAATCTCATGTACTTGCCTACTTACTTGCTTGTATCTCCCTGCTCATCTTGCTTCGTCAAGTGCTTCAGGGATTAGGACTCTTCTGCTGTTAGAACTAGCTGGTTTGGCTAGAGTGGAGGGAGAAACTCATTTGGTGTTTGGAGTAAGCAGGGAGAGAACAGATGTCATCTTTACGCATGAGAGATCACTAACACCGGGTCTGCATTGGTGTTTCTTGTTTCTGTCATACTCCTTTTCAAGTGATCTTTGTCTTGCAGAATATGCAATCTGCTCGTAGTTCCTTTAGGTAGAGAGAAAGGCATCTGACATTGATCCCTCTATTTTTATGTCACGGTTTTATACTTCTGGGCATGCCTAGTCTGTTTTCATTACAAACAAGGTAGTGTCACTTGCACTCTTAATGAATATCTGGCTAATTAGCTTGTAGCAGAGACTGGGATAGTTAAAGATCATATCCATTTTGATTTTATTTTCTGAATTTGTAAAGTATTTTCTCTTACTGGCACAGATTGGAAGAGCTATAATCAGTTCTGGTTTCACAAAAATCAAACTCCAATAGTCAGATACTGAGCTTTTTGAACAATGATAAGTTTAAGGCAAGAGTGCTTTGCTTCGAGTTACTTGGCTGTATGTTGGGCACATTGACCTAGTAATGAATATTGGTTTTTCCTGCAGTTCCTAAGTAGTGACCTTAGGTTTATGGACAACAAAGGGCTTTCAGTCCCATATCAGTCCTATGAAAACTTGCTATGTGTAGATGCAGTGAATGTATAAAAAGTGCTGGGTTTTTTCTGTTCTCATTCACCATTCCTCTTACACATACTGCTGCCATTCGTGTCTTGGTTTAGGCTACAGTATGGAGCTTTGCCACTTGTAGGTGCAAGAATCCTTTTGTTAGAACTCTGTCAATAAATTTGTTTCTTGAGGGTTCCTTCTCAAATAATACAGTGACAGCTGATGAGTTGTATGAACAAGCAGGACAAGGCACTTGGTTGTCATCCCTTTGTAAGAAAAACCATCAAGTCTTGTGATGAATGTCTGTCTTTGGGAACCACGTTAGCTTTGCATGTCCTGTGTCCCAGCAGTGCTCTTACAGACTTCTGGAATAAATAGAGTAGAATAAAATGTTGTCTAGCTCCTGCTACAATTGTTTTTCAGCTTGGTTTTCCAGTTAGTGTTCGTCACCTTTGTTTGCTACAAGAAAGTGGGTACTTAGTGAATAAACAGACTTTTGCCAAATTGGCAAAATTTTTTGAATCACCTGAATTCAGAATTCAGAAAAAATATTGAATAGTTCTTTCATAATCACAGTTCATTCTGCAAGTATGAGAATATTAAGTTATCAGACACAGGTTTTTTTAATAGAAAAATACTATTCCAGCTCTGACTTATACCTTCTGGCCTAGTTGATAACTTAGGGGGCAGTGCTGTCAGCCTGCTCCTTTGCAGCTGTAGTAAAGCTTATGCAAGGTCTATAATTCAAATTAAAAAAAGTGTTTTCAGAAGTAAAATTAAAAAAAAAACACTACAAATTGTGGGTATATGAATATAAGTTTCTGAGACATGCAGACCTGGCATTTTTCTCTGGTGTTTCACTTTGTTACACATCAGTGTGTTTCAGTACAGTGTTAAGAAATTTCAAGATGGCAAGAAAAATTAAGATCTTCATTTGTATTTGTCTTCAAATCAGCAATTTATCATTTTGCACTGACTAGTACTACTTTTCTAATGGTTACTTGCTTTAAAGGAACTATGACAATAAATCATAAGTAGTTCTTTGAATAACTGTCAGAATGGTCATTGTGCCGTTAATTTCTAGCTACAGTTCCTCATAGCTGATAGCTGAGCTGATAGTGGGATTAATGTAGATAGAATCATAGAACAATTCAGGCTCTTAAGTGTAGACATCTTTGATGTGGCCTTCTAGAAGGGCAGAATGGCGATGAAGTCAACTCCAAATTAATTTCACCAGGCTCCTTGAACCAGTTAGCTTCTTTGTTGTCCTCCTCCAGCAGGGTTTGACTCTGTATGAGGAAGGGCTGTGTGCTCGAAACACTTACAGAGCTGTTCTTGGCTACCTCTCCTTTTGTCGCCATTTGTCGCTCATCTCTTTTCAGCCTTTATGAGCACAAGCTTCTGCAGAGTGATGGAAGGGGATCAGAGAATGCTTGTGTAACAGTGAACAAGTACATGGACTGCTGAGTCTCTTTCCTCTAACAGGCACAAATAATACTGTCTCTTCTGGTAGATGAGAAGCTCAACGTGAGCCGTCAGTGTGTACTTGCAGCCCAGAAAGCCAAATCGTGTCCTGGGCTGCATCAAGAGGTGCGTGGCCAGCAGATCAAAGGAAGTGATTCTCCCCCTCTATTCCATTCTTGTGAGACCCCACCTGGAGTACTGCGTCCAGTTCTGGAGCCCACAGTACAAGAGAGATATGGACGTGCTGGAGCGTGTCCAGAGCAGGGCCGCGAGGATGATCAGAGGGCTGGAGCACCTCTCCTATGAAGACAGACTGAGAGAGTTGGGGTTGTTCAGTCTGCAGAAAAGAAGGCTCCGAGGAGACCTTATTGTGGCCTTCCAGTATCTCAAGGGGGCTACAGGAAAGCTGGGGAGGGGCTTTTTAGGATGTCGGGTAGTGGTAGGACTAGAGGAATGGATTAAAGCTAGAGATGGATCGGTTCAGATTGGACGTTAGGAGGAAGTTCTTCCCCATGAGGGTGGTGAGACACTGGCACAGGTTGCCCAGAGAGGTGCTAGAAGCCCCATCCCTGGAAGTTTTTAAGGCCAGGCTGGATGGGGCTCTGGGCAAGGGACAGGGCTCTAGTTGGAGATGTCCCTACCCATGGCAGGGGGTTGGAACTAGATGATTTTTAAGGTCCCTTCCAACCCTGACAATTCTATGATTCTATGATTCTTTCAGAAAAGTCTAAGTAGGGTGGAGTCACTCACCAACTTCTGCTATGCCTTCTGTGCTTTACATGTTTCAGGTACTAAATTCGGGAGACTGGTACTTCAGCGTTGCTTCCTGAATATAGTTTAAATTCCTTACGCTTCTTGCTGAAGGAGAGCATTACCTTGCCAGTCCTCTCTAAGGGGAAGGGGTGCTGTGGATCTGGCTTTTCAGATAATTATTCACCCCATGATGAATGAAAATCCTTGAGTTATTGTAGTGAGGACCTGTAACCTGTTCTCTGTGGGGTTTTTATGTTACCAACTTACTTGCTTTAGAATAATACACGTGAGTCATGTCTGTTTTGGCTTTTATTACTTTCATAGGCAAAATGAGTGTGTGCAGTTCTCCGTAGTTAATAATTCAAAGCGTGTAAAGCATGCCTGTGCCTACAGGTAGGACCTGTGTTGATAGCGGCGTGGAATTGCTCTGGCTTTAGACTTGCAGCCGAGATGCAGCCCGTCGGTTGATGGTCATAATTAATGGGGTACACAGGTCTTACCTGAACTTAAACAAAGCAGTCTGGGGTTGAATTTGAACTAGTCTGTATTTGTTGTAAAGGAAGTTCATGTACATGGATAACGATTATGAATCAGGTGAAGTGTGACAGACTGAGCAAATGTAGTATTTAGGTTCAGTGATTTTTACTCATTTAAGCAGTGGCCCAAATGACTGGATATGAGGACAGAATGTTGAGTAAATGGTTCATGAAAGGAAAAAACATTGTTGCTTACAGTGACTGTTGAGTAAAAGGTTGCTTTAAAAAAATTGATGGATTAATTACTTGTTTCTCTTTTTTTTTTTTAAGTATGTATAGAAAATATGATTCAACTAGAATAAAAGCAGAGGAAGAAGTCTTTTCGAGTAAGAGATGCTTAGAATGGTTCTATGAATATGCAGGTAAGGGTGAAATGCAAATTTTCTACTAATAGCAATTAAATCTACATTGACATATAAAAATTGCATTAACTGAGCTTGTCCAAGGCTGAATATAAAGGGCTTTTTTTGTAAAAGTCTTAAGGAAGCTTTTCGTATGTTCTACTTAGCATGAAGTTGAAGAGTTCAAGGGGCAGTTTTGTCTTTGTCTCTATTCTAGAAAAAAAAATACAGAAGGTGTGTAACTTAAAGTATATTGGAACATGTGTGGTTTGCTATTCAAATCTATCGTTAAAGCTGTAATTCTGTCCCAAATTATGTTTCCTCCTGGCTTTAAAAGTTCTGTCATCTGCTGTGTAGTGCTGAATAGTACAGAAGAAGCGTGTCTTTAATAAAAAAAAAAAAAAAGGGGGAGGAGTTGGAAAGGTTGCTGAATCTGATGCTTACGGCTTCAAGCAAGAAGTGAATAAATTCAAATATCCCATATAGTCTTGCCTTTATATAATATAGTTTTCTATCACAAGGTTTAGGGAAGGTGTCCTTTAATAGTGAAGTTAGTCATACTCGTCTTTTACACATCCTTTTCTTAAGGGCATTACTGGAAATATGGAAAAAAAAATTATGCCATGACTGTAAAGACCAAAAGGAAATTAAATAGGTGATTGACCAGGAAAATAAGGTCATTCTACAGTTTTCTCATGCTGTCTTCGATAACATTACTCACAGCTTGTTCTCTTTTATCTAATTCTTATGCATAATGAAGAGTGACTTAATCTGATGTAATAAAATGTTTTGTGTTGTTTTTCTTCTAATAAGATTATATAAACTAAATTAAATGTTTTGAGATCTCACTGATCTGTGGCAGTCTGGGAGTGGTGATTCAGACAAATGCAAGCCAAATTTAACCTGTTAGATTCTCTGCCTTTCTGACTAGCTTGATTTATTTTTTTCAGTCTAGTATCAAGTATTATTTATTTTTGTCAAGACTTTCGTGAAAAGGAGGGGTGAAAGAAAGGCTTTGTATGAAAGCTTTTGGGTTTCCATTGGTGCATATACCAAGATGAAACAGAAAAGCAGAGAGTATGATTCTATTTACTGTATTGAGTAACATTCTGAACAGTGAATTTTCACAGAATAGTCTCTTTTGTGTTCTTGTTTCATAAGTCTTCTCCTTTATATAGGCAGAGAGTTGACACTGCATTTGTTGTGTTTTTTTTTTCCCCCTAGTGTGTCTTTGCATTACAGAATGAGTCTTTTTGAAGACTGTTGTGTACAGTCAGAGAACTAGGAGAGGATGTTGTGAGAAGATGGAAAAAGATATAATTAAATCTTGTTATTTCTAGAATAGTAGGTCACCTAATAATAAAACTTAGATTGATCTTCTCTTTGTAAAACCTGTTTCTTGAATGTATGATCTTTATCTTGGATGAAAGTAGGCATGTCAACCTCTAATGTTTTTACAAAGTGAACCCTTTTAAACCTGAATAAAGTAATTCTAACAAAATAGTCCAAATATTTAAAAGGTACTTAAAAAAATAGAATTACACAGTACAATTCTTAATGCCTGTACATTTTTTTCAACAGAATATTGCACAAGTCACAAATACCTTGATTTAACAGCATTTTTATTGTAGTGCATTGTAATAACATCTTATGTTTTAAACCTTTCTTGCCTTTTAAGCAAGCAAAGAAATCTCTGTCATTCATGTCTTCCTTCCCCCTGCAGTTACTAAAAGTCAGAAAATATGTGGCCATGGCAGTAAACAGGAGCACAAGATTTTTATTTTAAGCTCTTTTTTGTAGATAAGGTTATGTAAAGATAGTATATGAGACAATAAAGAATGAGATTCTGGGAATGACAGTGTCTTGTATGCTGTATAGCTGTACATCACATCTTAATGTGGTGTGATCTTATGATCACTGTAGAGATTCAAGGCAAGTAATGAGTTTCACTAACCATCATCTGCTCATTTGACTATGGTAGTATTACATGGATATTCTGCTAGTCTCAAGTGCATTGTTAAAGATACTATTAATTTATTCTTCCAAGGTTATTTTAGTAAATAGATGGGATGAAGGGTAGTATCAGGAATGAAAAGTTATTTTACAGTTTTTCTGTCTATGTTTCCAAAGGCGATATAAAGGTTTAGTGTATCCAAGTCTCGATACAGTGTGGAAATATTTATTGCATGTCAAAACAAACAAATGAAAAAAATGACATGAAAGTTCAGGTTGTACTGTGTGCTTGCATTTCTCTTATGCTGTAAAGGTCAGACTTTTAACTCAGAGAGATAAGTAAAATGCATTTTGTTTGCAGGCACTGATGACATTGTAGGGCCAGAAGGTATGGAGAAATTTTGTGAAGACATTGGAGTTGAACCCGAAAATGTAAGTTCAAAGTCCATTCCGAAGATGCCTAAACTGTTATGATGAGCCAATCTTATATCTCATATTTTTCCATCAGGAAATATATGCATATTTTTCCATCAGGTTATATGCATTTTTCCATGTGTATATCAAAAGTGATTGCTTAAATTCTTGAATGAAATAGTAGTATTATGGTATCACTTTCTATAAATTCTTTATTACTTGAGTCCTCTGTGTGATATGTGGGGAGGACTGTGTTTCCTTTTGGGCAAAACTGAAGTATTTATGTATTAGCCTTTGTTTTGGTGTGCGTTAATGTTAGTTTACCTAGCTTTACTTAACAACTCCTTGAATTATGCTGCATCTTCAGACCTGCAGTGTTAGGTAGGCTGATGGTACCCTGGCGTAGCTGGATTGAGGTGAGGATCGTTATTAACTTCAGAATAGTTGAATTTCAGAAGAGTTCATGGGTTGCAACTGATGTTCGCCCAGGTGAGAGCTTAACAAGTGCCAAATGTAACGTGTCGTCGAACTGGTACTTAAATTTTGTAGTTGTTTTGGGAAATGTTTTCTGTAGCTTTTGCCCCAGCACATCTTCCTCGATGCGCTGCTCACTAGATGACTGTGCATACTCCCTTGAAGTAGGGGGGCTCCTGGTAACTTGGGTGGATGTTCACTCTGTCTTTGCACTGTTACTGTCTCTTTCTTTAGATTTTGTGCAGGCTTGTTGCTTCCATGTTTTTTTTAACTTTTAAATAGTGTCTCAAAGATCTGAACATGCTATTTGTGCTAGTAAAGCATTTGTAACCTACTGGATAGTTGTTATTTGAAAAATGCATGAGTTTTGTTAATTCTTTACAGTGTTCTCTTCCCCCCCCCCCCTCCTTTTTCATTTTTTTCATGTTTCCCCCCCCCCCCCCCCCCTCTTTAAAACAGGTAGTTATGCTTGTACTAGCATGGAAGTTGGATGCACAAAACATGGGCTACTTTACATTACAAGAATGGTTAAAAGGAATGACATCACTACAGTAAGTGCTTTGAAAAGCCTCTGAAGTTTGTTACAGCAAACCGATTTTTTAAGAAAAAAACACACTTTAGGGTTTTGATTTGTAACACCTAAAGCAGAGAGCTCTACTGTGGTGTAGAATCCATACATTTTTCGGTCCTGTTTGTGGTGATGTGGCCACTTAGAGACAACTTGAAACATGGCAGCTGTAAGGTTAAATACAGTTGGATTAAAATGTCTGCAGCCTCAAGAAAACAGAAATGTCATGAGGTTCAACATTGTTTCTGTCTCCAAGGACATGTACCTTTATCACTGGACTGGACCTATCTATTAGACATTGGTATGTTGTTAGAGCATGTGTAATTTGAGATGCTTTCTCCAATTGAGCGCTTAATCTCATGGCATAGCTAACTTAAATGTGGTTGAATAATCACGTGTTTCATAGAGAGTTGAAGAAAGAACTGTATTTTGCCTCATCTTCCAGAACAGAATCACTGAAACTGTGTAGGAAGTTCTGTAGTTTCAGCAGAGCTACTGAAGCGTTGTTTCACTGCTGTGATGTGCTGGTTGTTTGCCATGTGTAGACAAGCTCTTAGTTTAATCTCCTGGAGAGCGTGTTTGCTACAAAGCCAAACAAATTGTCATCAGAGTACCAGTGTAAGACTTTGCCATTTTATCTAAATCTTTTTCATACTAAGTGTTTAGTTAGGACATTTTAGGTGGACAAACTCAAAGACATGCCTTTATACAGAGTGAGGCATTTTGAACAGATTCATGGGGACTCATGTTAGAGATTCTTTTCTCAAACATCAGATGTCTCTATAAGAATGCAGACTCTGAATTCACTTTGTGCTTTTCTTGTAGATGTGATACTACAGAAAAATTGAGAAATTCTCTGGATTACTTGAGATCTTTATTAAATGAGCCTACCAATTTTAAACTTATTTATAGATATGCATTTGACTTTGCACGGGTAAGTACTGTAGAAGACCAGCATCTGAAATGAAAACTTCACTTTCATAAGTGATAATTGAAAGACTGTATACTTCTAAGTATGTTTCTCATAAGATACTACTCAAGATTGCTTCTAAAAAGTGAAACTCTTGATGTTCTAAAAAAGCATAGGCAACATGCCAAAACCAGAAAAGTGTATAGGATGCTTGATGCTCAGTGATTGTGTTTTGACATGTTTTGTTACCTCTCTGCTGCAAGCTGTTTTGTGGCTTCAAGGAAATCATTTAGGCCCTATGCAGTTGCATAGCGGAGCTTTGCCACTTAACTTCCACTGGCTTTATAATTATCCTGTTATTTCCTCTTACTGTTTGAATTTTGTGAGCATGAGTGTATTTAAAACAGGAAGGCACTTCAGGCGTTTCTGCAGATGTTAAAAATAACTAATATGATAAAGGATGGATATGATATAATACAAATACTGGTTCAAAAGACTATTGGAAGGTCATTAATGGTGTTCTTGGTATCTATTAAATATATCCTGATATGAACCTTCCTACTATGAAGTATTTATGGATAAAATTATACCTGGTATCAGAACCCATAATATGTGTCAGACTGTTCCTACCTAAAAGGAACAATAAAGGAACTGTGATTTTCTGAATTAATATTTTAAAATAGAATTTGAAAATCTTTCTTGCTAATGTGAGGGAACGTACAGAAGACTTCACATAGAAATGATCACAGGCATAACTGAAGGAGAATGAAAGACACCAAGAAAATTTACAGCAAAAATGTAACATGAGAAAAATAGCAAGTACTATTAGAACTGATAGCAATTCTGATAGTTAAGTTTGTCAGAAGTAACTCAGATTTGTGGTACATCAGTGCTTTCTGTGTGTCAGTGTGCAGGCATTCATGGTTGTTCACTTCTAAGCAAGGAAACCTACAGCTGTATATGACAGAAGGAATGGTGTTAGTATGAGAGGAAGAAGACCCATATCAACATCTTAACTCCTCATTTGCTGTTTGAAGATCTGTTCTGCCAGTCTTGATCCATGTAAAATGCAAAGACTTGGAATAACTAACATTGCCAAGGAAGTTCAAGATACTCAGGAAATATTTGGAATGTTTTACTGGTAGCAGATCTGTGCCAGCTGATGGCCTGTCAAAATTAAGTGCAAAAGCTTAGAAAGAGGTTAGTGGGTGGAGGTTTTTCAAGAGGTACCAGATTGATGAGACAAACAGTAGTCTTGAAGAAGAATTTAAACATTGAGATGCAGATGCTGTGAGATCACTTGTGACAGAAAAATCCCCCCACATTGTAGGACTGCAAGTCAACAGGGGAATTGTCAAAATTATATTAGGTTAATGGGATTATTGAATGTTTAATACTGTGGAGCCAGGGGAAGTCTATAGGAGAATGGCAAAGACTGATACATTTAACTAGATGTAGCAGATGAACTTCTACGTAACTTTTATCAGAATAATTAAAGTGATTGATATTAAAAAGCGTTGGGAGCAGATTTGGGTTTTGATTCAGAAGGTTGTTTAATTTTCATCCTAAAGTGTAGTTATTTCAGGGAAGTGCTCCATGGCAATAAAAAATTTTCTTAACTGCTGAACTTCTAAGAGAGAATTTTATATAGTGATTTGGTGTTTCGTGTTAGTTTGTCAATAAAAATAATATCATCAAGGTTTTATGTTGCATACACAATTTAAATCAGCATGGATTTGAGGAAATAATTTAAAACACCATATAGTGATACTAAGCACAAATGCATTCCTCACTCCCTATTTGCCATTGCCAAGTTTGAGAACCTACAGATGCGTGTATTTAATGGCTTAAATAGGTCTTCTATCTGAAATATTGGGGAAAACATACCTCAGAAAGGCCATCTATCACCAATGTGAAAGAAATTCTGAACTGTATCAGAGACGATCAGTATATTCTTTCCTCTGTATCCAAGAAGGAGAACGTAAAAGTCGGGAGTGTGTGTTAAGAATGGAATCAAAGCATCTGTCATGGCAGATGTGCCATTAGGCAGTTGGAGGTGGGTATAAAGGGCTTATCTGAACAATTTGTTCCAAACAGTAGTCGGAGAGGGGGAATGTAGAAACTTCATGTAAGGCATGTAAAACCAGCATGGCCGAAGTAAAGGCAGCAGAGCTTGCTTCCATTAACACTTGAGCGTGTAGGAAGAATTCAGAGTATAAACAGTATGGAAAATAAAATGAATTCTCAAAGCAGTATGATTTCTACTTAAAGGTGTCTGTGACAGGTGTAAATGGGTTTTGGAAAGAGGATTAGGTTTTAGAACTATTTGATGTTGGAAATAAGTGAAAGAATTGTATCATATTAATACAAAAATGCCTTTGCATGTTTGTTTTTCGACTCTATTACTAATTGAAAAGCCTTTTTCATCCTGGAGTTTACTTTTTTCCTCTATAGCTAGGCAAGAAATGTGGATGGATAAACTACTTAAAATAACAAAATCTTACACGTACACATTACTTTTGAGATGTGCTCAAGTTGTGTTATCATTAACTTCCCCACTGATTAGATGTGATGAATCTGCTGGGTACAGATGGTGCTTCTTTTTTCTTAGCAGAAACACTCCCTAAGCCTTAATACACTACTGCCATGCTGAACTAAAACTAAGACAGTTTTGAGAGGGGATCTCCATGTGCTAGTATATTATGTTCCCTCTGGTCATTTGATAATTAATTTAATCTGAATTTTGTGTAATCAGTAGAATAACAGAACAAAGATCTTCCTTGGCTCATAGTTGCGTAGTCAGTGTTACCTGATAGCTACTCACCTCTCTACTGACAGTTCCTGTAGTTGTAATAACACCTCAGGAAATATGTACAGTGATGCTATTTTTAAGAGATGTATGTCTATGCAGAGGCACACATCCAAACATGGATATGCATCTATTGGCCATTGCTCTCTAGAAAGGTCTGAAGTGAGGAATAGGTGCATGTGCCTCATCTGCAATAGTGGTGACAGTTTTTTGGGAAAGTCTGTAGAGAGCATCATCTCTGTATAGCAAGCCATTAGCTATAAGGAAGGAGATTTTACTAGGAAGTTGTGTTTAATTAAAAACCACTGTTAGATACTACTGTTATTTATTTGCTTATTTATTTTATATATGGATGAGCTGTAGTAAAGGCAGTGGTGGAAGTGAAAAATTCTGAAATCATGCCTTTTTTTTTTTTTCCCCCTCCTTTCTGACCTTTGCCTTTTTATGCAGGAAAAGGACCAGCGCAGCCTAGATATCAATACTGCCAAGTGTATGTTGGGCCTTCTCTTAGGAAAAACATGGTCCCTTTTTCCAGTATTTCACCAATTTCTAGAGGTATAAAGTTTGAAACAGAATTACATTTTTTGGATGTCTTCTCTGATACTTCAACTAGAGGTAGAATGAACAGCAACTAGTATTTTTTGTTCTGATTCAAAATATATTAATACTCAAAGCAGCATTTCTAACTGGTTATCTTTCCTTTGTTTCTTCTTCTTTGTTTCTGTGCTCCTAAGATTTATTTAAGACAAAGTATAGAATGTCTTTGATTTGCTTTTGGGCTTTCATTTCATGGCTGTATGTTTGTCCACTAAAAGATGTCTTAATCAGAAACATGAATTATTCAACCCTAGTTTGATTACTTAGTGGATTCTTTAATCCTGTTCAGTTTTAAATGGCTTACAGTTTCAAATAATTCGTCACAAGGTTTAAATTTTCTGTAAAAAAATCTGTAATTGAGGGAGTTGAAAGTATATTTTAGTAACTTTTGTTTCTTGCCTTAAGCAGCAATCGAAATACAAAGTTATCAATAAGGACCAATGGTGTAATGTTCTTGAATTCAGCAGAACAATTAACCTTGACCTCAGTAACTATGATGAAGATGGAGCCTGTAAGTACTACCATATGTTGGTGTTCTGAAATAATTTATTTCTCTGAGCTTATTCATTCGGTGTCCCTTTACAGCGTTTTGTAAAATGCAGTTATTTGATCTCTCTACAGGGCCAGTGTTGTTGGATGAGTTTGTGGAATGGTATAAAGGAAAACAGATGACATAGGAGTTTAACTATGCACAGCCACTCAAGAGTCACTGTTACCACAGTTATGTCAACCATTAGCCATAAAACTGCTATTTGTATCAAAGTGCATGCTGCTTTTCTTGCACTGCATCCCTTTTGCAGGGACCTTTTGATGTTTGCTATTTAACAAGCTAGTTCTGCTTGCTGTGTAGCATTGTTCTCTTTGAAGGCTGCTTTGCATTTTGTATTTACACTACGAATTGGTGAACTTGCCAGCGTCTTCACTGTGATTATGTGTATATTGCTGTCTAAATTTTGTATATGTGTATAAAAAAAAGCTTCACTTAGGGATTATTTCTGCAGAAATGTATTGTAAAAATAATTTTGTGGCATAATTTCTAGTCATCACATCATATTTGTTGAAACTTTAGTTATTTTGCTTTTCTTTTGGTCTCAAATGTAGCATTTCAGAAAACGAACAGACTGTGTGGACATAGTTATGTGAAGAACTATTGTCAATTGTAATGTTACTATTTGAGATGCCAGTTTCTGAGGGGACAAGATATGTGCTGTGATTTTCTTCACTGGAATTCGCCAAACCTGACCTATTGCTTAATAGGAATGAAACGCTGATGTCTTAAAAAAATATATATATATACACATAAAATATTAAAACACTGTAATAGCTGTACATGCCACAGATGATTTCCATTTGAAGAGAAAACTGACTTTTTAATGTTCAAACTGCGGTAGTCATTACAGGTACAAATGAACAAATTAAAGTACCTTTTGCAAATGGGTTTTAGACTTTTGTAAATTGCCTTTGGCATACTCCTTTTAATTTTCGGTGTACCAAGAGTGTTTCGTCTATGTTGCGATCTAGTGGAATTTAAAGTTCTAACTAAAATTAATGGTTTGGGGAATAAAATCGGTTCACCCCTAGCACATAGATAATATAGCCTTGGGTTTGGGTGGTTTTTTTTTGTTTGTTTATAGTCTTTCCCAACTCTTTCCTTAACTTTGCGTTTTTAAGTAATTAAAAACATGATACTGAATAGTTAAAACATTACTTTTATTTTCATGCTGGGGATTGGATTTTCCTAGCAGAAATGTCCATTGCAGGCAATGGGCATGTTAAAACACCAGCATTAAATGACAGTACTTTTTAGTCAGGACCACTGCCTATTTCACTCATTTCTTTATCTTTATAGGACAGTCCTAGTGATTATTTTGGGGAAAATGAGTGAATGGTGTGATGTTTAAGTTCTGTAATTTTTTCACATTGTCTTTGCCTTACCCTTTATCAAGTAATGTTAGTGTTGATTTTTATAAATAAGTCCTTGAAATATACGGTGCTATTAAACTTTGAACCCTAAGGATTTATCAAAATGTTCCAAATTGATTCATGAAGCATTTTAAAAAAAGGGCCAGGGAATGTTTTAGAACAGAGAACAACATTACTTTCCTGTAGAAGTATTTTAACAAGGTATTGGCAGTTTCGATATTTCTCTAGAATGCAGTATAGGGTAAGGAGGGAAGAATGTTCCGGGTGGCATGGGAACTTTTCAGCTCTACTGGAGATCATCTTCTGCTGTCACTAGAGTCAGAAACAACTATCATTAACTTGGCTGTTTTCACGATGAATCCTAGTTTAGCACAAGCCCAGGAGTTTGCTGCCCTGGACCAGGAGGTTGTAATTGTGGTGCTACAGGTGGTCAGTTGTGTTCACATCTGTTTGGTGGTGGTGATGGTTTTTGTTTGTCAAACTCAGCTGCCAAAGACAAAAGTTGTTTGTGTGTGTTTGTGTGTATTTGTCTATACATAAATAGACAATATGTATGCATATACAAAATGTAGAATTTCATGATTCTAAGAAGCAAATACTACCTTTCCCCATGAAATAGTCACGTTCGGATATCCATGACACTCAATAGCGCTCTTTAAATTAGTGATAAAACATACATAGTCATTGCTTTCTCATGTACTAATACATGTAACCTTAATTCCATGTTTGATGCCAGTTTGCACAAGAAATTAATTCAGTGGAGTGTGGTATTTAATGTTTACAATAAGCCTCTTACTAAAACACACACATATTATTAAGACTTCCGATGTAAATGTGTATATTGCCATAGTATAACCGTAAGGAAATATCAGTGGAGCTGCTGGTTTAGTTCTTAAAAGAATGAACTTAGAAGCAATATAACTTTCAACATTAGACTGAATTGTGGTTGCTAAGATTTCAAGTGAAATACTGTAATTCTTCTTAAATGTTAAGCTAGTTACTGACTCTAGAAAAATGTTTAGCAAAAATTGACATGAATTGTGCAACAAATACAAGGTTTGCGTAAAAGACTTTTTATATCACACATAATTTGGCTTCCAGTAACAGAAGCAAGAGCCAAAGACACTTTTGATCTATTACTGTTACAGGTATAACTTTCATATAGCAGGGTCAACAGAAATCTGTTCAGCTCAATCAGATGCTCTTTTTCCAAGTTTTGCTAACGTTTAACAGAATACAGGATAAAAGCAAAGAAAACAGAGTGAAGGAAACCTCAGAAAGTACTCATGATGTATAAGTAAACAAACTCTTTGTTTTTTTTCTTTGGGTAAAAGTAATTGGGAATGATGGAAAAGGAAGACTGTGTTTAGAAATTGATGAGATAGATACTGCATATTTTTTTCTTCCACTTGCAAGTAAGATGAAGCTGTAGTTTTCAGCTGGTTTATAAACATGCATCTTCATAAAGTAAACTACAAATTCAATTACAGCTGGTAGACAGCTTTACAAACATTTGTAGAGAACAAATGGACAAAAATGGACCTCTATAACTTTATAATCTTCTCTGTGCTATCCAGCCTTCTGTTTTTGCTAGATATGCTGATAAGCAGAGGATCCTAACATTGCCAGCTCTTATTTCAGAGAAATTCCCTCTCATTTTCAAATAATTGTGGAAACTTAACTAAGTTACATAATTTACCTTGTATTTAGTACAAGTTTGGTGTTAGCTTTCTGGTTTTTTATGCCATCATATAGCTGATGTAGGGTTTTGGTTTGTTTTCTTTTGAAAATATACAGAATGTGCGGACTTCTTGGACAAGACACAGAGGTCATCCTGGCAGAAGTGTCAGGGATCTTATGCTAATTTTTCTGGTGTACTGTTGCTGTCCTTATAGCAGAAACTTGATGATCGATGTGCAATTCATACTTGATATTTTGGAGATGCAAAGTAGAAAGCCAGTTAGTGAAAGGAAAACAGTATCCAGAGCCTATAGTACTTGACACTTTTAAGTTGATAGATGACAAACATTTGGAGGTCATCAGACTCAGTTATCTCAAAGGTCTTTTCTGAACTAAGTGATTCTGTGAATATTAACAACCAAAACATTCCACAAATTAAATTTCATTCTGCAGCAAATAATATTAAGTATTTAAAACTGTTAAGTTTTCACTTTTTATCTTTTTTAAGGAAAGCAAGGTGAAGAGGATGGAATTCATTGGAATCCTTTATGTATTTGAGTTTTCAGTAGAAACCTGTTTGAGGTTGTCTTTAAGCTACAACAAATATTTGAGTTACCTTTATGTAGCCTTTTCTAACACCTGTAGAGGGCTGGAGGCTTCTCCCACTTTACCACAAATACATGCGCTTTATTTCACCACAGATAAGCTAACACAATCAAAATTGGTTACAGGTCATTGCTAGTTGGTTAATGTCCTGAAGTTACTCTTCTAGAGGACAAGAAATGGGCTTCAGTTTCAAGGTTTTCCCAGATTTCTGTTGACCCTTGTTCACAAGTCTAATAAACTGTTTAATACTCTTGGAATTCATATAGACAGCTTTAAATGTTAGCTTGTGTCCTGGTTTTAATTGTAACTGCTAAAATACCTCTTTCTAGGCCTTACATTTTGTCCTTTCATGTTGCTGTAAAAGTGTATAGAATCCATCCACCAGCTAAAGAATTTGTTGTCTGTAATTGAGACCAAAACTCAGCTTGATTTTTTTTTTTTTTTTAAATTTTTTTCCCTGTGTGTGTGTGTGTGTGTGTGTGTGTGTACGTGTGTTGTCACAAATTAGTACCTACTGACACTGGTTTTAGTTACAGCAGTAACTAACTGTGAAGGCTTTACGTCTTAGTTATTTCAATATTACATAAGGTGTGCTAAACTCCTGTGACTCTCAACCCGATGAAAATACTGTTACGCCACCTAACATGATTTTTAGGTCTTTTGCTGGTGTTAATGTAAAATGGCATCCCACAAATAAACGATATTTGTGTTAGTTTCAGCAACTGACTTCAGATTTTTCTGTGGTTCATGCTTCAGAAATTCTCGTATCTGAACACTCATCAGATAAGCTGGCAACCTTTATCATGGAGTAGCAGAGAACTTGAATGTATAATCTTGTCATACTTATTTCTAATAGGAAAGCAAATCAGTATTTAAAACTTTGTTAGAAAAAGATAGGTTTCAAATGAAGAGTGGGTGTAAAACAGTATTGCTATGGAGCAGTTTTCAACAGAGTCAGTTTGAACAGCAATGTCACTTAAGACAAAATGTTACAAGAAGTATGATCATTACCCGCTAATCTCGACCTGATGTGTGGGCAGGATGAGTGGACAGCGAGGTAGACTGAGAACGTTAGACTGAGCACCAGGACACAGAGGGTGATGATCAGCAGTGCAAAGCCTAGTTGGAGGCCAATGACTAGCACTGTACCCCAGGGTCAATACAAATCTTCATTAATGACCTGGATATTGGGGCAGAGTGTGTCCCCAGCAAGTTTGCTGATGACACCAAACTGAGAGGAGTGGCTGATACACCAGAGGGTCGTGCTGCCATCCAGAGGGACCTCGACAGGCTGGAGAAAATGGGCTGACAGGAACCTCATGAACTTCAGCAAGGAGAAGTGCCAAGTCCTGCACCTGGAAATGAACAACCCCCTGCACTAGTATATGCTGGGAGTCACCCAGCTGGCAAGCAGCTTGGCAGGAAAGGGACACCAAGTGGAAGATGAGCCAGCAACATGCCCTTGCCATAGAGAAGACAAATGGTATCCTGGGCTGCTTTAGACAAAGTATTGTCTGCAGGTCAAGGGAGATGATTCTTCCCCTCTGTTCAGCGCTGATGAGGCCACACCTGGAATCCTGTGTCCAGTTCTGGGTTCCTGAGTACCAGAGACATCTCAACATACTGAAGAGCACCCAGCAAAGGGCCACAAAGATGAGGAGAAGGTGCTGGGGGGGATATTACTAATGTATATCAGTATTTGAAGGGAGGATGCAAAGAGGACAATCAGGCTTTTTCCAGTGCTGCCCAGTGACAAGACCAGAGGCAGTGGACACAAACTGAAATACTAGAGGTTCCATCTGCACACTTGGAAACGCTTTTTTACTCTGAGGGTGACTGAGCACTGACACAAGTCTTCCAGCAAGATTGTGGAGTTTCCGTCCTTGGAGATACTCAAAAGCCATCTGGCCATGGCTTGGGCAACTGGCTCTAGGCGGCCTTGCTTGAGCAACGGTGTTGGATTAGATGACCTCCAGAGGTCACTTCTGACCTTAACCCTTCTGTGATTCTGTGATTTCTAAAATTATATGCTAAAGAAAATTCTTGAAGTTGCTCTAATGTAATGCTGGAAGAGATGACCAGTACAGTAGTATTTAAATGTAGTGATACTTTGATCTGAGAGTCTGTTCATGACCCTAAACACTTGTCTTACTTTTTTAGGAGAGCTTTTCAATTATTTGACTTGTAATGAGGTGTCGCATTGATCTTTTTAAAGCAAAAGTGATAATA